TCTGTCCCTGGTGGGGAAACTCGAGGGGACCCGAATGGGGGACAAAGCCCAGAGGACCAAACCCCAAATGCAGGAGGAGAGGAGAGCCAAGTGAGCAGGAAAAAACGGGAATTTTCATCCCCGGGATAGCGGGATTAGGGCGGGGGTTTGGGTTTGGGAAAGGGGATTTTTGCTGGAGTTTGGTTTTTTGAAAGAGCTGGGTTTGGGTGCCTGGTTTCCCAGGAAAGTGAATTTTCTTGGAGCTGGATTTCCCAGGAAAGTGAATTTTCTTTGAATTTGATTTCCCAGGAAAATGAATTTTCTTGGAATCTGATTTCCCAGGAAAACAACTTTCCCTGGAGTTTGATTTCCAGGGAAAGTGTTTTTTTCTGGGAGTTTGATTTCCTAGGAAAGTGAATTTTCTTGGAGTTTGATTTCCCACGAAAGTGGATGTTCTGGGAACCTGATTTCCCAGGAAAACAACTTTCCCTGGAGTTTGATTTCCCAGGAAAGTGAATTTTCTTGGAGTTTGATATCCCAGGAAATTGTTTTTTCTTGGAATCTGATTTCCCAGGAAAGTGGATTTTCTTGGAGTTTGATTTCCCAGGAAAGTGGATTTTCTTTGAATCTGATTTCCCAGGGAACTGCATTTTCTTGGAGTTTGATTTCCCAGGAAAATGAATTTTCTTTGAATTTGATTTCCCAGGAAAGTGTTTTTTTCTGGGAGTTTGATTTCCCAGGAAAGTGAATTTTCTTGGAATCTGATTTCCAGGGAAAGTGTTTTTTTCTGGGAGTTTGATTTCCTAGGAAAGTGAATTTTCTTGGAGTTTGATTTCCCACGAAAGTGGATGTTCTGGGAACCTGATTTCCCAGGAAAACAACTTTCCCTGGGAGTTTGATTTCCCAGGAAAGTGAATTTTCTTGGAGTTTGATATCCCAGGAAATTGTTTTTTCTTGGAATCTGATTTCCCAGGAAAGTGGATTTTCTTGGAGTTTGATTTCCCAGGAAAGTGGATTTTCTTTGAATCTGATTTCCCAGGGAACTGCATTTTCTTGGAGTTTGATTTCCCAGGAAAATGAATTTTCTTGGAGTTTGATATCCCAGGAAAGCAGCTTTCCCTGGAGTTTGATTTCCCAGGAAAGTGTTTTTTCTTGGAATTTGACTTCCCAGGAATGTGGAATTTCCTGGTGCCAAATTTCCCAAAAAATCTGCTTTTCCTGGCTTTTAATTTCCCAAAAAATCTGCTTTTCCTGGTGCCAAAATTCCCAAAAAATCTGCTTTTCCTGGCTCTTAATTTCCCAAAAAATCTGCTTTTCCTGGTGCCAAAATTCCCAAAAAATCTGCTTTTCCTGGCTCTTAATTTCCCAAAAAATCTGCTTTTCCTGGCTTTTAATTTCCCAAAAAATTTTTCCCAGAGATCCCGGAGCAGGGAATTCCACCCTCATCCCATTCCCAAAAATCCCATTTAAATTTCCATTTCCCGCCTCGATGCCATTCCCTGAAATCCCAAAAATTCCTGAAATCCCCCCAAATCCCAAAATCTCCGGCTTTTTGGGGAAAAAAAAGGGGTTTTTTGGGATTTTTTGGGACCCTCTGGGATTTTTTGGGACCCTCTGGAGCTCCGGGATATTTTGGGACCCTTTGGGAATTTTTTGGGAACCTCTGGAATTTTTTGGGAACCTCTGGGATTTTTTGGGACCCTCTGGGATTTTTTGGGAACCTCTGGAATTTTTTGGGAACCTCTGGGATTTTTTTGGGAACCTCTGGAGCTCTGGGATTTTTTGGGAACCTCTGGGAATTTTTGGGACCCTCTGGAGCTCCAGGATTTTTTGGGAACCTCTGGAATTTTTTGGGACCCTCTGGAGGTCCCCAAGGTTCCCTCAGATTTTTTGGGA